TTCACTCATTCTGCTCCTGGACAGGTGTATCTGTACATACAGGAAAGACTGATTATGCCTTTTGTGTTAAAATCACAGCCCATATCTAACTCGGTATTGTCACTGTTAATATATTGGTCTGAACAAAACATTTCATAGAATCATAGAACTGGAAGGGATCTCAAGAGGTCATCCAGTCCAGTCCCCTGCACTCATGGCAGCACTAAGTATTATCATTCTAGATCATCCCTGACAGGTGTTTGTCCTTCCTAGGCAGCCATTTCCTATTTTGTATGTGTGAAACTGATTATTGCTTCCTAAGTGGTGTACTTTGCATTTGTCCTTATTGAATTTCATCCTATTTACTTCAGACTATTTCTTCAGTTTGTCTAAATCATTTTGAATTTTAATCCTATCCTCCAAAGCACTTGCAACCCCTCCAAGCTTGGTATCATCTGCAAACTTTATAAGTGTACGCTCTATGCCATTATCTAAATCATTGATGGACCCAGAACTGATCATTGCGGAACCTCACTCGTTATGCCCTTCCAGCCTGACTGTCAACCACTGATAACTACTCTCTGGGAATGGTTTTCCACAACCAGTTATCCACCCACCTTATAGTAGCTCCATCTAGGTTGCATTTCCCTAGTTTGTTTATGAGAAGGTCATGTGAGACAGTATCAAAAGCTTTACTAAAGTCAAGATATACAATGTATACCAGTTCCCCCCATCCACAAGGCTAGTTACCCTGTCAAAGAAAGCTATCCGGTTGATTTGACATGATTTGTTCTTGACAAATCCAGCTGTTACTTATCATCTTCTAGATGTTTGCAAATTGATTGCTTAATTATTTGCTCCATTATCTTTCCAGGTACTGAACTTAAGCTGACTGGTCTGTAATTCCCCAGGTTGTCCTTATTTCCCTTTTTATAGATTGGCACTATATTTGCCCTTTTCCAGTCTTCTAGAATCTCTCCCACCTTCCATGACTTTTCAAAGATAATTGCTAATGACTCAGATCACTCCCCAGTCAGCTCCTTGAGTATTCCAGGATGCATTTCATCAGGCCCTCGTGACTTGAAGATATCTAACTTGTCTAAGTAATTTTTAACTTGTTCTTTCCCTATTTTAGCCTCTGCTTCTACCTCATTTTCACTGGCCTTCACTATGTTAGTCGTCCAATCACCACCAACCTTCTTGGTGAAGACCAAAACAAATAAGTCATTAAGCACCTCTGCCATTTCCACATTTTCTGTTATTGTTTTCCTCCCTCATTGAGTAAAGAAGCTTTTTTTGTATTTATGCAGGTTCTGGGCAAAGGGGCAAGAATCCCTTTCAGTAATTTGAAGGGATAGAACTACAAGGACCTCATGAGAGCTCTCCATCAGGTCAATAATGACTTATTGCACCTCTCCTTCTCAGACAGAGATGCTGCAAGATCCAGAGAACTAGGTGAACAGCAGAAATCCCGGTGAGAAAACCTTGTATCACTGGAGGAGCAGGGTTTTTTTCTGCCTCTTTGACAAAAGACAGGCTGTTAACCCCAATATTTGCTAATAAGAATATGAATCCTCCAAGTGTGCGGAGGGAGAGTAAGTGTGTGAGAGAAAGTTATAAAGGACGAATGTTCTGTTTGTTCTTCTCTATGGAGATTCATGTGTGATTGAAGTGTGGGAAGGGAATAGGGCCATTCTTACACCACTGAATATTTCAGTCGCTTAGGAAAGTTAGCTCCCAAACTGAGATCTGAATCGCTGCTCAGAGTCCAAGTGAAAATGTTTGAGGTTAACTCCTGACCAGGTAGGCTCTGTCCATACCAAGGCATCCTTACACAAAGGCAAATCTCATTGATGTCAATGGGAGTTGCAAGTTAGGCCCTATGTGTTTATTATATTAACGATTCACAGTGCAGGGGCCTGTCCTGGAGAGTTTACAATCTAAAAATCCTTAATTGTAAATTATTCGGGGCAGGGATTGTCCTTTCAATAAGTGTTTCTATAGCGAACTAGCACAAAGAGGCCTTGGTTCCTGTTTGCAGCCCTGAGGCGCTACCATCATAAAAACAGTAGTAAATCAGGAGTACCTGCTCTGAAATCAGTAGAGACCCACTCAACTGGTTTCAATAATGGGAGAATCAGGATCACAGTTACTAATTTCAGGTGGGTGAAACAGATACATATTTGGGGAGATTTAGCTAGAAGGGCTTCGTTCCCATCAGTACTTTGGAATATTTTTAACTTGTGGTAACCGCAAATCTACCCACAGCTGACAAGTGCACCCTTATCCCCCTCTGTTTCATCCTGCCTCAGCACAGGGGCCTGGACTTGATGATTTCTTGAGGTCCTTTCCAGCCCTACATTTCTATGATTCTGTGTTTGTATTCTTACTAATTATTTCTATTACCGTAGTCCCTAGGAGGCCTACTCATGGACCAGGACCCCATTGTGCTAAGTGCTGTACAAAACACAACACAAGGATGGTCTCTGCCCCAAGGAGCTTACACCCTAAGTACCAGACAAGAGACAATAGATGGAGACAGACAGATGAGTCCAAAGGAACGATGAGACAAATTTGATCAGCGTGATAGGCAGTGATCTCTGCACACAAACAGCCTAACCATTGTCAAGCTTGTTGTAGGTGTCATGGCAACGGAGAATTTTGATGTCATTTCCAAGTGGATAATACCTCTTCTAGATGATGGTGTTTCTAGGAATTGTGGTCTGGTGCTGTTCACTCAGCATTCATGATGTTCGCCCTTAACTTTGCTTTTGGAAGCTGATGTTTCTGGGAATGAGTCAAACACCCCGATAACCTTCACCAGTGAAGTTAGTCTGCAGGGGAGCTTATAAAGGTCTCTTTCTGCATACTATATGGTAGGTCGGGGTGCTGATTGGTGGGCGAGACCTCAGTCTTCAGGCTTAGCTTTTCAGTCAAGTAGCCAATACCCCATTTAAATATTTTTATTCTCACCTTGGCATCAGCAAGTGAACGTGACTATAACTATAATCAGCTGTTCTAGATCTGCTCTAAGAATTATTTTGTGGAAGTTCTCTGGCCTGTGTTATACAGGAGATCAGACTAGATGACCACAATTGTCCCGTCTGGCCTTGGAATCCATGAATCATCTCAGTAATATTCAAATTAGTGGGTGGTTGAAAATTGGGGGCAAATCATGAAAACTTGCATGAAAAACGTGTCCCTTTCTTTTGTCAAAAAATGTCTGACTTACAAAATAGTTTGACAAGCTCTAATTAAAATCCTCCAGGGGAAAAAAAAAAAAACTATGTAGCAGGAAACGTGAATTCATTGGGAGATAATTGTGCTGGGGTTGGCTGGATATATTTGCACTCACCTCTCAGTGAATGTGAAATAGACATTAATCTAAAATCTCGGGGATCGTTTAATTGAGCTTATGGGTGTGAACAAATAATATTAGAACCTTTTGACTTTGTACGCGGTTCAGCCAAGGGGAACAAATCCCTTCCTATAATTCACGGAGACTACAGCAGGTGGCTTTATGAGAGATGTCACTTGGGTAAAGTACCATAAAGCATTATGTGTCTTTAGAAGATGATGTTACATAACATGCTAGTGACCCATCTGAGCTGCGGAAATCCACAAGTAACAGGAGACATGTTTATTCCCCTTCTTTCAATAAAGGCATGAATTGTCTCCGGTGTATGTGTAGGGGCATGAATGGGGAAAAGATTAGATAGCACTTTCATTCTTCTCTAGGGAGATTCCTAATAATACCCAGCTCTTATATAGCACTTTTCATTAGGGGATCTCAAAAGCACTTTACAAAGGAGGTCAGCATCATTACCCCCATTTTTAGACAGGTAAACTGAGGCACGTGACTTGCCCACGTAAGTCATGGGCAGAACTGGGCTCAGAACCCAGACCTTCTGAGTCTTACTGCACTGCACTGCACTGTCCACTAGGCCACACTGCATACAACAGTAAGAGCTTCACTTGTGGAGAGGAGTGCTGTGTTTCATTCAGCATCCCATTTCTTACATTCTTTAATGGTTCATTCCATCAGGAAAGCATCTCCCCAACTGTGATATAAACCACAGCCCAAGAGAAAATGATTGGGGTTAATTAGTCAACACATCAGCTTACTCCACTAGGGATGGTCAAAAATGTTCTCTTTAAATTGTTTTCTGATGGAAAATTGGGGTTTCCTTGAATACAAAATGTGCACAATAGCTTTCTGCTTTCCATGGCAACTTTCAATTTTTCATTGAAAAACTGGAAACACATAAAAACTGAAAAGTTTTTTTCCAAAAAACTGAAAATCGGCTGACTGCAAATGTTTATTTTGGGGGATTTTTCTTTGTCAAATTTCAATGAAATTACATATTTTGTTTTTTGTCAAAAATTTCCATGGGGAAAAATTCCATTGGTTTGAACACCCCACGTGTTGGAAGAGTAGGCAAGGGGGAAAGAAATGAATGCACCAGAAGACACAGAGCTCAAAATTCTCAAAAACAGATACCAAAAGTTATGCTCCTAAGTCCATATTTAATCGCCTGGAGGGGGGGGGGTATTTTTACAACACTTAAGTAACAAGTCCCAAAGACATCATTTTTTGTAAAAATGCTTCCAACCAATCTGCTCAACTCTATGGTTGCAGGTGAATTTTTTTAAAATTTCACTCCTAACGTGGCAGAAAGAGGTAGTGAGGGCCAGCAATTGCCAGTCATTCAAGTTCCTGTGATTACTTGTAGCCCCTCCAGACTACATGGACACTGTCAGAGGGAGAGATTTAAATATGATAGAAAATGCTAATAAGATACTATTCTTTGGTTTATCTCTACCATAGCAGCCATGTTCATAATAAGGAGCCCTAAAGCAAACACAGCACCCCGAAGGCAGCCTTACTAACCGTATGGAAAGGAACTCTCACCTACCTGGGCGGACACATGGTACTCTCAGTGACCTCCAGACTAAGTGGTGGTTAGAGATATCTACTAGAATGTTTGGGTCGAGATTGTATCAAACACTCCAAGTTAGAATCCTGCACAACAGCATTTTACAGACCCCACAGCCCTATAAACACAGGGACTCTGACTCCATCTGGCACAGCTCTTTCCTCTCACTCCGTCTGGTGCCTCTTCTCTGCAGTGACACTGAGATCGCAGCCGACCTTCAGCCATGAAGATCCTGTACCTGCTCTTTGCTGTTGTCCTTCTCCTCTTCCAAGCTGCTCCAGGTGAGATTGAAAACTGTGAAGAGAGGCTTTTCTAATGAGTTTTAACGCCAGCTCTTCCACTGCCACGCTAGATGGGGTGGGTTCTCGGACACGTCTTTTACACTGTTTATGCTCAGTTCCCTGTGTGCAATGGGGAAACAATATCACCTAGCCCACGCACGCTTTGTGAGGGTTAATTAGTTACTATCTGTCCAGTTCTATGAAAATGCAAAGGGCTCTAGACTTCAGTTCTATTGAATTACACTAGAACAGAAAACACATTGCCTAAAACTAGGCATGTCACCAGGTGCCTGGCTATACTAAATCTCTATTTGGGTATATGAGCTGCTCCCCGGTGTGGGGGCTCAGTTAGTTATCCACAGTGGAAAAGTAAATGCAAGTGCAGTGCATGCCCGGGTAGATACACAGCACACAATCCTCTTCTCACTTACATTATATTTTGTAGTATTGGTCAATATTTATACAGCTGTAGCACTCTGAGAGCCCGATCAGGCTGAGGGCCCCATTGGACAAACAGAAAGTAAGATGAAAATAACTCCTGCCCTGAGGAGCTGATAACCTAAGAAATAAATTGGGGTAACTCCTTTAAAATCAATGGAGTCACGCTGCTGTAAAACCGGTTTAAGTGAGGAGAGAATCTGCACCACACATTAGATTCATGCATGTAACTCAACCTTATCTTTGGGGAAAATGAGCTTGGTAAGTTTACGGAGGGGATGGTAGGATGAGGTTCTATACAGTGGCATACAGCCCATCCGTGACTGCTATCTCCAATGGTCTGAGATGGGACACTAGATAGGGAGGGTTCTGAGTTACTACAGAGAATTCATTTCCAGGTGTCTGGCTGCCGGGTCTTGCCAACGTGCTCAGTCTTTAACTGATCGCCATATTAGCAGTTGAGAAGGAATTTTCCCCCTGGTCAGATCGGCAGAGACCCTGAGGATTTTTCACCTTTCTCTGCAGCATGGGGCATGGGTCCCTTGCATGTTTAAACTAGAGTAAATGGTGGATTCTCTGTAACATGAAGACTTTACATCAAGATTTGAGGACTTCAATAACTCAGCCAAAGGGTTAGGGGTCTATTACAGGAGTGGGTGGACGAGGTTCTGTGGCCTGCAATGTGCAGGAGGTCAGACTAGATGATCATGATGGTCCCTCCTGGCTTGAGACTTTATGTTTAATACCTGTTTAATTACCTCCACCTGTTCTCTTCTTGGGGACTGCTTCTGAGTGCAACTGTAACTGCAATCCTTCCTGCGATACCAAAATGCTGTCGAATAAATAGATAGTGGACAACGTGCATTCACTGAGAGATGATGGTCAAGCTGAGCATGCCCGTGTTCATCTTTCAGGAAATGGGGAATGGTTGTCACGCCTTGTGATCTAAAATCACAGCTCATATTTGACTGGAGTGTATAGATCCAAACAAACGACTTTATGCTTTTTTCTTTGTGCAGGGTCTGGTGAAGAGGCAAGGATCCCTTCCTGTAGGTTCCTGGGAGGTTACTGCATAAGGCCTAGGCAGCGCTGTCCCTCAGGACGGTTTCTGAATGGACCATGTGGTTTCAGAGAGAGATGCTGCAAAAGATAGAGACCATGCTGAGCTGCACATGGGGGGCCTCGGATCGTCCAAAAAGATGTTTGCTCCCCTCTTTTCAATAAAGACAAGCTGTTAAATCATAGCTGCTTGAGGACATGACTCTTCCTTGGGAGTGGGGGGTAGGGAGAATGGGGGTGTGAGGGAGAGGGAAAGGGAAAGGACAGACGTGGGTATCATCCGTTTCTATAGAGACTTCTTTCTAACACTACAGGCTTGAATGTTAGCACATGTGGTGCTAATCACTGCTTCTGGGTGTCCCCAGTTACTCATAATAGGATCTTACACCAAAAGTTGGATTCTAAATTCCCTCACTGACCATAAAGTGTGGAAAAAATACTGTTATTTCTGTCCTGAAAAAGCACATTCCCTCAACCCCAATCATGCCAAAACAAACATAAAGATATACACATCTGAGCTGGGGGGGAGGGGCAGGATTCAGATATGTGTTCTTCACAATTCACACAAATGCGGTGGTGTAGATCTCTGTTGCAGTGCCATGTTAGAAGCTGACAAGCAGCCTGCAGCCAGCACTAACTCCTTTCCCGGCCTTTCCAAAATATCCCGCCCCTCAGAGTTTCACCTCAGCGCCAGTGGCTGCAGTTTGCAAACTGGGGCGCAGCTCTCAACTCTGAGGAACGAGCTCTCCTCTTGTGGAATAAATGGTGAAAAAATGGAGTGTCCTGACTCATTCCCAGCCGCAGTTACCCAGATCACAAAGGCATATGTGCAGATGGGGCCTCGTTACACAACACGCTTTCCCTAGAATTCACACAGGTGTCTTTGTACTCCTGGTGGCAAGTGGGACTGGAGGCCTACGAGTGACCTGCAGCTGGAAGTGACTCCTATTCCACCCTCCAGATGTGTTCCACACCTGAGTGTTGCCCCCATTCTAAATATACTCTTTGCTTTTCTCTCTAGAGTAGCCAACTGTTTCCTCATACTGTAACCCTTCTGCCCATCTAAGTTGGCAGCAACAAGGGCCGGGTTCTGTATCTAGGGCTTCCGTTTCAATAACGCAATGGAAAACCGGCTCGAGCCCCCACCCAGGGACCTGGGAAAATTACATACCACACCCTGGCGCCTCTACAA